TCTTTGGGCTTGCATAATCTGACATAAAGTTCCACCTTTATTTAATTAAGTACTTTTTCATTCTTCTATCTGATTTGGTGTGTAGTAGTGACTTTCAGGGTGAAAATTAATGCAAATGATTATTATTCAGTAATGAACCAAAAAGGCTGCAAAGCCAAAACATGCTCTGTGTTCCACTCTAAATTTCTCATTGTCATTGTCAGCAATCAACAGAAAGCTTATAGAAAGCACAACTAGCATGCTCCTACTGACATTAGTGTTATCGTGTGCTTAGTTCCATATGATCTGGGTATTTAAGAGGTGGCAAAGCTCTGTTAAAAGTGAATATTATTTTTGTAGTTACAGGCTGCTCAGAATGGTCTCTAAGCTTTGATATTTTAAGATGCCCCATTGTTTTCTTCAGTCCACTTCATCTTCCTTTATAATTGTAGTTTTGTGTAAAACACAGGTATTCATCAATGTGGGCGTTGAAACTTATAGAGTCATTGCATATTCATAATTGCACCTAGGTGTGGAATTTCTTGAAGGGCTAGGTATTTTTGTTCTTCTATTGCATCGCCTCTTACTTTATCTCAGTGGCTATTGTCAGCTGTTTAGTGACTGAACATGAGCTGTCTGTATCCTCATAGAAGATTTGTAGGAGTTCAAAGATTGACTACAGTACATCTATTCGTACCAATCTCAAGCACCTTGGTTCTAGGGCATCCAATTTCCAGAGACTTTGGTCACTCTGTTCTGCGTTCATGGTCGATTGTTGATTCCAAAACCATGAATAGCATAGATGAACCTTTAGGTCACTGACTCCAAGGATGTTAACTTTATTTGAAATTTTTTTTTGCCAGCAAAAGGCTGTGTTGATCCATTACACAGATTAATAATAGGTCCATACCTCTCCATTTTAAATTTCTTTATATATCCGTGTTCTCTTTTTAATCAACTGTGAACTTTCAACTTGATGTATAGTTTAGTGTTGTGAATATTGCTGTGCTTCTGTTTATTGTCTTCTCAATAAAATAATTAATGTCCTTGTGACAAGTTTCCTGCATAATGTTTTGAATGCAATCGCTGGCGATTGTAAGAAAAGAATGAGAACCCCGGTGATTTGCCAGATGTTCATTTATTGTTGAAAAACATTTAGAAATAATCATCATTAAGTAAATTGAGTCTTCCATCCATTATCTGTAAGCAGCTTATTCCTGGTAAGGAAGTTGGTAATCATGGGCCTACCATGGAAACACAAGCACAAGGAAATGCTAAACACTGGATGAAATGCCAGCTTGTTGCTGGACAATTTCGAAACTCAATTTTACCTTGCCAAAATGTCTTGGGGAAAACTGGAAAACCTGTATACCCATGTGGGGAAGAACCCCTCTCGAATCTAACCCAGGACGCAACAGTGGTGAAGCATCATGACACCTGCCCTCAGTTCAATCTTATGACTGGTAATTGATCTCTCAAGGTTGAAGTCTCACAGTACCTTATAATTCAGTGGTTTAAGACTTCAGCAGGCTGCACCTGCACAACACTGCTGTTTTTAGGAGGAAAAAAACAAACATTTTTGATTCCAAGGAAATATGGAAAGTAATAGATATTTACTCGCCTCTTATATCATAGGCTTTTTTAACATTGTAAAATCCACCATAAAGACTAAACATTTAAAACGTCATCCTTTTCATAAAAAGACAGAAATGTCTGAGGGTGTGGTTCTTTCAAATGACATATTCATAGTCGCACAAATGTCTACTTTTGGTGGTTGTCGTGGAATTTTATCAGAGAAGAGCCAGTAGAGGTGTTCTCATTCCCTCAGTAAGGTCTTTATGGGGAAAAAGTCATCACCCGTCTGTGCAGAGAAGTAAAGGCTGATTCAAAAGCAAGCAGGGGGAGCCCTTGTTTTATATCTTTTTTTTAAGCTTGTATAACACTTCAAGGGCAGGCAAAGCAGTAATTTTCCCGTCCTTATAGGTTTTCGCTTTAAACAAAGAAGAGCAATTATTCAAATAGTTTCTCATACTCCCTTCTTCAAGCAGCAGAGATAAACATTATTAAAACATCCCGTGTCCTTGGCGAGTTGGATGCTATCGTACTTTGTTCTAAGTATCCAGCTGCTTCTGCAGCACAGCTATGTCCGTAAACAACATTTTTAGGATAAAACACTTTCCTTTACATGGTTCCTATTTAAAAAAAAAAAAGGACAGGGTAATATCAGAAGCAGTATACAAGAATCCTTGATCTGATCTGCACTTGATCAACAAGCTCTTGTAATGGTTCAGTACTGCTATCAAGACACTGATAAACCTTTTTCAGCACTTTATCTTGCTTTATACTCAATATACAGCTAGAGGCATAATTTGCATACATTAGAGAAAGAAAAAATACATTTTTAATTGTTCTGGATGATGTATGTCTTATATGTGTCTCTGATGTAATGGAATGTGACATCCTGCTCATTTAAAAATGGAGTTGACTGTACTAGAACACTAATGATGCTTTTTTGTGTGTCCAGTGTCAACATATTGCTGGTCAGTGTGGATGAGTAGAGTTTTTTTAGCAGAACCAATGAAAAAGAAATGGTGCAAAACAAATGTTATGTATTGGATTCAGAAATGAAAGTTTTAGGTTTGAATCATATTGACATGTTCCTCTCTCTTTTCTGGAATATGTTGTTCACAGGCCTGCAGTTCATGCTGTGTGCTCAAGCTAAGTTTGCTATGGAGTAGTTTTCTAAGTACTCAGAAAGTGGAGGTCTAGAAGGTTTATCCCTCAAGATGGCTTCTTTTAAAAAATAAAATACTCAATTCTCAATTCAGGCATTGTGGATAGGGATCTATAGTCTATATTTTTCTTTCAGATGGTTAAAACTAGTGTTATGGGTGTTTTAATATTATTGTATAGAGATTGTTTTACATACAGTACATCTTGTAGCACATGATTGTCATAGGACTAAGCCCCTGCTGTTAATTGTAGACCTGCCATTGCTCATTTACTAATTTTTTCAACACAGGCTCTATAGTGGGCATAAGGTTCTTTTAATAGGAATAACATGACATGTCTCTTTCAATTTTCAAATTGTGCCCATTAATCAAGACTAAGTTAATTTGGTTTCTTAAGTATTATGATTATTTTAAAGCCAGAGAAGATGGAGTATAAGTTGATGCTGCTGTTTCCTGGAGTGTGAGTTGACCTCTGTGTATTAGGCAGCTGATATGTAATGGAATTAAATGATTCCTTCAGGCTGCTCTATGGGGTTTTCAGACCAGATAACTGATTTTAATATATTCTCTTAAAAGTGTTTTAAATTATTAAAATTATGTTGTTTCTTTCATATTGATTGAAGGTAGCCTTAAAAGTGTAAATCTCCACTGCATCACTAAACAAAGTTATTGGCATTTGCTTGTTCGTGTACTAGACAAAAGCAGTGTTCTGCGGTTGGCTTAGGTCAAATTGAAAGTTCTCTTTCCCTCGCTTTTGGCCACAATAGAACCATGCAGAAGCTTTGTTTTGTTTGCAATAGTTACAACCGAAGCACAGTTCCATAAAATGCTTTGGAAGCTATCATTAAGGACTGATTTCTTCACGATATGATACTTTTCCATAAAAAAAATCATCTTTGAATGCTGTGGTAGGAGAGTTGATGATGACAGCTTAGACAGAATTTTACATGTAATTTGTCTTATAGAAAAAAAATTAAAATAACTCTTTTGGAACTTTGTTTTCCATTCTCCCTCACCCATAAATTGCTCATAAGTCGCATAAATCAACACATTTTGGCAACAATATGGAAGTGATGTTGTATTCTTCATTTTTAAGCATTTTGCTGTGTGTATCATGACATTTTATTTAACTAGCAATTAAGGGATTGACCACTGTGCTCTGAACTCCAGTTCCAGCCTTGAGTTTCTTGTTAAATATGTGGATTTAATACTGTACTGTATCATATACTGTATTTACCTGTACCATCATCTTAGCAACAATGAGAAAACAAGTGCCTTGAACACCATGATAGTCCCTACAGGATGATAGATCATGAAAGTTATCCTCGCTTTTTATTACTCTGTACGACAGCATTAGTGTAGTGGGATTGGTAACTGACACAGCTGTTGTGCCTTGAGTAAGGGACTTGAATACATTTTGGTGGACTGGAGTAACTGGGGTAAACTTCCCAGTCTTTTGAGTCGAGAGGAGTCTGCTTAACACTACAGTAACGCAGATAAGCTCTTGCCCTTTGAGCTACTGTGCTTTATGCTTTATTATACAACACACAAAGCATTTTTCTAATTGCTGAAAGCGAAAGGTTGTCTAGATAGTCTTAGTCAATCCACATTTGTTTAATCTTTCTTCCTTTTTTAAAAGTATTATTCTACTGCAGCTTTTAATATCCACTGTGTCAAGGTACTGCTTATTCTGATCATGAATTATTCTTAAATATTTGAAAATGTTGTAGATTTCACTGAAATAGATAGCAATGTGTTTTTAACATGAAGGAGTATTGCTTTACAAGAACCATACTTGTAAACCCTAAATTTTTAATATCTACACAAATCACAGCATTAGGTGTTTCTTTTCCCATATATTGTAATTGTCATTTTAAAAAGGAATGTTGCAGTAGTCATTTTTTTAAATTGTAGATGGAAGACAAAACCCCCATCATTGTCACAGAAAGCCTTTCCAAGTAAAGTATTTTAGCTGTCTACATTATATCTTTTTAGTATGTACTGTATAGTGCTGTAAATGGTGTAAAAACAGGCTTTGATATCTTGAATAGGAATGAAATGTAAGACGTTTTGCCTCATTTCCTATAGATACACTAAAGCAGCTTTTATATCGAGTCTGGAATGAAACCACTTGTAAGGCTTCACTCCCATCTACAGAGATTGCTGATTGGCTTGCCATCGCTCTGCCCCCTGACAGCCTATGCTGTGGTTACAGTTTAACCACACAGCCACTGTATTTTGAAAGTTGCAGAATCTGACTTCATGCTAATCTCTTAACCTTGACAGTATTTCACTGACCTGATTCACAGTTGCCGTGAAGTCTGCAGCAGATCATGGAAAAACACCACACATTAATCCATTACTATGATAAGATATTGCTGAAAAATGGAGCTGCCAGTGTGTTCTGTAGCCAGGAACTCTAGAGTACTGCAGAGAATAGCTAGGTAACAGACTGGACTTTTCCACTGGCTGGCCCCCAGAGTGCTTCCTCATTTGGTCCTGTTAGGTGCCAGCACATTTCTTTTGGAGCTGTGGCCAGACATAGTTTGCCAGCTGTGCTGTGTTCCGCCATTTCATTAATATGATTGTTTGGTACTTTTCAAAGCAAGCCCCTCTCTGCCCCCCCTTTTGTGGGGCTCCTTTCCAGCTGTGTGCAATGTTTTCCGGTGCACTTCGAACGCTGAACCATCTGCCAAGATGCTGGGGAGTGAGGATGGTGATGGCCATGGTGGTTTCAGGATCAAAGACGGCCTTGTAAGATCTCTACACACTTGCAGAATCAGACTCAAATTCCAGTTGTCTTGCTCATGCTCATGCTAGTCAGTGCCACCTTACTAAGCTGCTAATTCTTGTGATTCCAGGCAAGTGAGGGAGAGGCTAAAGAAGGAGGTAGAGGAGATGAAGGAGCAATGTCCTGGATTTAGACCAGGGCTTGTCGTACTGCAGGTATGTATTATATTTGAGATTTTAAAATAATTTTCTGCTGCCTTTCTTGCAAAAGCAGATCTAAATTTCATATTTTGGCTTTCTTTTGTTTCTCTTTTTATACAGGGAACATGTAATAAAACTATAGAATTTGTGTTTTCGATGTTTTGCCATCTAAGAAATATCTGGTGTGTCTTGCACCACACTAGCATAGACTTGTATGAGCAAAACTATTAGTATGCTGTCATTTATTGTAATTTAAGCGATATGAGAGAATGCTTTTGTATAGCATTTTCTCGCTCATGTTTCTGTAATGATGTTTTTTTTAATTATTTTTGACTATACAGTAAGTCCAATTTCCTCCCAAAGACATGCTGAAAAGGCAAATTTAAAAGTGATGAATTACTACCATTTATCACCATGGAACTACTGTATGTAATGCATTAAGTTAAGTATTTTGGGGAAAAAATATTGAGGTATCAAGGTCATAATGTCCCTAGTTCTTTGTATATCTAACACAATTTTGTTATATTGAGTGAGCTATTATGTCTGCTCAATTCACGAAATAAAATGTCACATTATGTGTTGTATTGCAGGAGAGTGAACTGAAAAGTTGTTGAAGTGAAAAGGTGAATTGCGCTTCTTTTTTAGGTTGGAGACCGAGATGATTCAAACCTCTACATTAGCATGAAGCTAAAAGCAGCAGCTGAGGTAATTATGTAAATTAGTCGCTAAATACCATGGTGCTGTTATTCTGAACGTTTGCAGTTGATTTTTCTGATATATCTTACTGGCACTTCCAATTATTTATTGAATAAAACATATTTTGCACTGATTTGTTTAGTGATTTTTGTTTTAAATAAATTGTTTTTTTGGTTTCTGTCATTGAATATCCACATTATATGTAATCTTATGCCATATATTTGTCACTTGAGTGTTAAGAAGTCCTTTCCTTACGGATATTAAATATCAATTACCCAAACTAGACTCATTTTGTACCTGCTTTTTAAGATGTGTGGACCAAAGTTGGAGTCATCCTTTTTTAAAGCTGAGGTGACTGCTGCTTCCTAAAAAATATTAAAGGTGGAATTTAGCCCTCTTTCATCCGTTGGAAGTAAGTTACAGCACCATTAAAATGTACAAAAATGTCTTAATCCCATTTGTGTTTTCAAGATTGGGATTAATGCCAACCATGTGAGACTGCCAAAGACTGCCACAGAAGATGAGGTAAGTAATGACATGGGATTTTGCCAAGAATCGAGAGCCTGGTGTTTTGTGCTCTATCATAATTTGGATTCTTAATGTAAATTCTTATATAAAAGTAAAAGTTGCTTATGTGTTTTTTTTTGTTCCAAGATCCTTTTTTTCCTTGAGCACTAAGTATCCTTGAGTATAAGTATTTTATGAATTATAAAAGACACCTTGCATATTCCGGAACTAATAACTGTTTAAATATCTTGTCTTTTTCAACCACACAAAAACGCCCTTAGCATTCCTTCGTGCATTCCTTAACAGAAAGCCTCTTATTGATAAAATTCCAATGCAGAGATCAATGTGACACTTTGTACTCTTGGAAAGTTCAAATAGCTTAAGTGACAGATCCAACATCCTCATCAGAATAAGAGCCGGGGTTTGTTCCCTGATCTCGGCATTCTTCCTATTCAAGTTATAGTATGATAGAGACAACATGGGGTGCGACATCCAAGTGATCCACATTAATACCTTTTCTATCATAGGTTTTAAGAAACATTGTCCAGGTGAACGAAAACCCCAATGTCCATGGCCTTATTGTGCAGCTCCCATTGGATTCTGTCAACCCTATTGATACAGAAAAGGTGACCAACACTGTTGCCCCCGAGAAGGATGTGGATGGGTAATTGTTTCTTCATATAATGCTGTCTTGTGTTTGCTTGTGGTATTTTCAGCATTGGAATACTTTTAAAATTAACTGAAAAATAACTGTTTGCTGTTCATCTTATCACACTTTCAGCTTAATCCAAAGTATGTTATAGAACTGAATGAACAGGCATATGTTCACATATAAAAAAAACTTTTAGTAAATAATTTTGTTTGCAGTATGCTGTATCCTGGCTTTCTCCATGCTTTAACCTTTTTTTTCTTTTTATTAATTATAGATGTTTTGAGAATGTTTTGATTCTCATTCAAAGGCATGTGGCCAGATAGCTAATGTTTCTTTCTTTGCAATACAGGCAGTCTGGTTTTAATACCCATTACTTAATAAATATCTAATTTAGTTGATTATGCTTAAATATTCCAATATTCACTTCATTTTTTAAGTGGAAAGTGTTATTCATAGATGGCTTGTTTCATGATGTGCCGTTGAAAATATGTTCTGCTTGACGACAACCAGCCTGTTGTACTTTTATTTCTTGTATTTAATATAAGCAAGACCAAGTAATTTTTTTTTTCCAAAGTAAAGTGTTATTGATATTTGTGCACAATGGTCTGTGCTTCCAATGAGAGGTGACATTTAAAATTAGTTTTGTTTGTCTTTCTTTTTTCTTGTTCCTACATTTGGTGTTCTGCCATAAAAAATGTTTTTCATAAAAATAATTTTCATGCCCAGTTCTCATTTGAACAGATGCACAAAACATGACTGTACTAAAGTCTGTGTTCTTAACAATGTATGATGTAACCATTTGCAGATCATTAGAATCTACAATCAAAATAATGTTTTCATGTGATTACATCTAAAAGGACAATCTAATAAATTAATTTTTGTAGTGTTCTTTAATCTATCGGTTTGTGGCAAATCAGTAATTAGGCTTTTGTATCGGGGCTGATAATTATACAAGTGTTTTGAAGTAGCTGGTACTTTGGATTTCCTTAAAAAATTTCAGTGCTTGTAGTTGCAGTATGATAAAGGTTACAGGGTCAATCAGAGTGAGACTTCAGATTAGAGAAAATACAATTTTCCAGCCTTTGAAAAATCTGATTGTATGGGATGTAGAATGAGACCACTGCTAAACAGGTAATCATTGATTTGTGACAGCTAAGATTAAATTATGTTTTGAAAATGCACCTGAGCTCGGCAGGCCATGAGTTCTTTTTATGCCTCTTATATACAGTAAATGCAGCTCTTGATAGAAAACAGTTTCCTTACTCTTGCTTTTTTTTTTTACTTCCTGTTTTGTTTTTAGTCTTACAAGTATAAATGCAGGAAAGCTTTCACGTGGTGATTTGGGAAACTGTTTTATCCCTTGTACTCCAAAGGGATGCATGGAGCTCATCAGACAGACAGGTATGTATTCAGTAAGTAAAGGCCAAAGCTGGTATGAGTTTGGATCGTGTCACTATCTGACTGTTACAGGGAGTCTTTTATCAGCAGAGCGTGGGGATAGGCTGGGCATTAGATGGTCAAGGTCCTCTTGGTTTTCAGAAAAACATACAGGAGCTTGCAAGCTTTCAGTGAAGTTGGTGAGAGAAGCGCCACACCTCCAGCTGGCTTTAATCTGTTGAGGCACCGTGGAGCTCCAGCACTGACAGGTGGACCTGGGAGGTTCATTCCTGCAGGTCCTTGTTGTAACCATTAAGTACAAATAGTGTAGCTGTAAAGCCAGGTACTATTGGCACTTGCTTGGCTGAGTATGTAATAATGGTTATTTTGAATGACAAAAAAGCTTTCTAGTCTTTTGGTACTGGGATTACATGCCACTATGCTAATGGTTGAAGGGTATCTGTGAAAATATGTATGTTAATAGAGTATTTATATCCATATTTTTATGAAATGTTTGGCTTTTGCAGAATATTCTGGTTGGAGTTTTGGAAGTACACGCATATTTATGAAGCCTGCCTTAATAAGTCTCTTTGTGTCACTGTTTTAGAGCTATTGAGTAGTTAATTGCTTTTATGAGACTATTAAAAACAATTTAAAACAAACATAGAACTGTATCAATTGAAATCTGCTTGAATGTCTCTGGCATTTAATTTTGTTCTTATTGTGCTACATCTTTGACCACTAGTTTATATATATTAGATTTCTCTCAAATTTCTAAGCCTATTTTAGGCACTAAGCTGAAAGTGTCCTGAAAAACATTGCCTTTTAGCAAATGTAATGGGATGCTTGAGAATAATACTGTTCTTAAGTCAAAGTAAGGTAGCTGAATTTGTTCTCCACATTAAAAGACTGCTTTTGTGCTCTCAAGGTGTGATGGTTGCAGGCAAGAATGCAGTGGTTATTGGCCGCAGTAAGATTGTGGGAGCTCCCATGCGTGACCTGCTGCTGTGGAACCATGCTACAGTCACAACGTGCCACTCCAAGACCACCGACCTGTCTGCAGAGGTGAGGTCGCAGTGTCCATGTCTGGGTTCTAAAGAATCCAAGGAATAGTGCAATGCCTTTTCTTTTTATAAAAAGAATCTTCTCTTTTTAGAAACGTTTCTAAATTTACATGAATACTTCTATTTTCATAGAAAAGAGCTATCTCTTACAATGGTTTCATCATAGTACTGTTTAATATGTAATGCCAAAAAGGTTATATATATTATATGCTGTATCTTGGAAACAAATGCCTTATTTATGGATTATGATGTTAACTGGAGCATTTTAGCGTACTGTCTGTGTTTTTGCTCACTTATAAGGGCACTACCAGAACATTGTTCACAAACCTGCCAATGTATGTAATATATAAATATTTAAGTATTGGTTTGCACAGCTTACTATCTATATATGCATTAGGCCTAAATTTGAATAATTTGTGAAGTAATGGTGGTATTAATTAAATTTAATTGATTTAAGCTGTAGGATATTTAACCCTTTGTCCATATTTCATGGCTATTTTCATTGCCTATTAGCTATTGGAAAAACTTTCATAAATTGATTTTCAAAACTTGGTTAATTAAGTATGCAGATTGAGTGCAATTAATCCCTGTACAATTTCTGTTCTTTTCAGGTTGGTAAAGCTGATATTTTGGTTGTTGGTGCTGGCAAAGCAGAAATGGTGAAGGGAGACTGGGTGAAGAAAGGGGCTGTTGTCATTGATTGTGGCATCAATCACATTCAAGGTGGGCGATTTCTAAAACTTAAAAGGTCAGCAGTGCTCAGTCACCTCATTAGTCCTCTTCTTGATTTGCTTTCATTTGGTTATTAGAGCATATAGTCCATATTTCTCATTGATAATGTGATATGTCCGCCCCTGCTGCCGAGCAGTGGGGCAATCTAGCTGTGACACGGCAGCTGGTTACTTCGCCATCAGCCCATCTTTCTGCGCCTCTTACCGTGGAAACAAAGCACCTGGAGACTTGGAGCACGTGGAGGGGGTTTTTGACCACGCTCCTTCCAGGTGTTTTCGACATAAATGTGGACCTGACAGAGCTTGGGGTTTGTTCAGAATACTGACTTCTGCTTTCTTGGTATCTTCACATTTAGGTCACCTCTCTGCTTTGTCTGTAGTGCATTTCTCAGCTCTGACCCTTGCTTGCGTCTTCTACTTCTCTCCAGAATTCCCCACAGCGTGATGCATCCATATGTCAGCCTGGCTTTGGATTGTATTGAAACTTTGACTTCAACTTCTGGATTCACCCTTCTGAGTTTCCTTGTCCTGAGTCCTGAGCTGGCTCTCTATGCAGTTGCCCTCTGTGCATGCTGCCCACTCAGCCCAGTCTCCCATACCGCTGCTCTCTGTACTGTCCCTTGCATGCTGCCTATGGCTTTCACCGACTCAGCTGCTTCTCACTCGGCACTTGAGTTCTCTCTTTGCCCCAGGATCACTCTACTAGTCCCATTTCAGTAGCATAGCATCATATGATGTCTGTTCTTTTTTGGAACTTAAAACAGCTATTTGTATGTTACAGATGAATATATATTTTTTGCACAACATCCATTTTGATATTTCACTTTTTTGAACTTATGAGTCTTTAAACAGATTTTTTTTTTACCTTTCAAGAGTACAACTGAAACGCAACAGAACGCAAAAAGTGGCAGCTCACACAAGAGAAAAACCAGAAAAGGCGGGACATTTAAACAAGTTCTTAAGATTATGAGCAAGCATCTAACCTTGTTATCTGGTACAGTGTTATTTGTACTGGCAAAATGTAAAAAACCTGTGTGGACTTTGTTTCCCCCCAAAAATATGAATAGAGTGTGATGGCAGAATATCTCCTGCCTTGTAAGGCTCATACCTCATACCATATCTCATACCTCCTGCCTTGTAATGGGTTTTGCTGGCTGAAGTCTTCATGATGGGAAGGCTGATAATCATTTGTTAGTTGTCTTTGAGAAGGAGCAATTGCTGAATCTTCGAATCTTCTCAGCTTACTTGCAACAGTCCTTGTACTCGCACAAAAGAGATGAAAATGATCCAGATATTTATTAAACCGTGCACGTCTCAGGCCATACACCTCTTTATACTCCCAGTGATCCCACTGGAATGTGTAAAAGGAATTCAGCTTCCGCGCTTTCAATTAAGACTCTTGTTTCTACAAGTAAATCTTTTTCCCAGGGTACCATTGTAAATGGGACAAAGCTGAAAGATTTAATTTAATTTGCTAAAGATTTTGAATAGCATGGATGATTTGGATTTAATTGAATGTGATGAAGAGCACCCCCTAATGATGACGAAAATGTAGATGTTTTATGGAGTCCCATTGAATTTTTACGTAATTACAGTATTTGGCTGATAACGCCACTACATCACAGAATCCATTTCTAACAGCTACTAATCATCATACATCAGAAGAGAGCCATTTATAGCAACACAGCCTGAGAGCTGTTGCTATTATACTTCGCTGCTGGTAGTAATACAGAGAAAGCTTCTCAGGGAGCTCTGTTTATTATGTAGACTTTGAATGTCTGGGAGCCTTTTATTCTTGTGAAAATTATTATTTTCCTTTTTGTTCTGCTCTGACAAAAGGACAAAAATCTCAAGTTTTTCTGTAGCTGCTAATATTACCTCTGTCCCAATTCATCTCTGCATTGTCATGGTGAGGGCCATTCTTAAGTTATGCCTGCACACTGACTCACTATCAGTTATGTAAAGCATTTCTTAGAAATGGTGATGATTAAAGTTTTTTAATGCTTGTATATTTATCAATCCTTTCATAATTGTGACTTAGAACACTTTAGTTTTTTCGTGCAACAAGTGCCCGTTGCTGATTGCAATGTTATTGCTGTTGTTTAAGGTAACCATTCGACCTTTAAAAGCGTTATTTTGGAAGGTGAGGTAAAAGTGTAGTCACTGGATGCATTTGAATGTTAATGTGTAAAAACGGTAGTGTTCTAATCTTTGTTCTTTCTCTCTTTGGCTTTTAGATAGTACAAAAGCAAGTGGAAAGAGGGTAGTAGGAGATGTAGACTACAATTCAGCCAAAGAAAAAGCTTCTTTCATAACACCAGTGCCTGGTGGGGTTGGACCAATGACGGTGGCCATGCTAATGGAGGTACACAGTTCGACACAGTGCTTGTACCGTTCTCTTCAATATTACCCTTATTAGGAGGCATTAGATGGCAAAATTGCTCTGTAAGTGTAGTGCTAGAAATACAATGAACTGTCATGGTTACTAGATATCATTATAGCTTTAAATGGTCCTTTTTTTGTAACACATTTCTAAAGTAAATCCTGTTACAAAATCAGGGGGTGGATTAAGAATTTAAGTTCTCAATTAGTACTTCCTCAGTGCCCCATTAGTTAAAAAAAGATCTGAGATGTGATTTTGTCATTTGGAATTTGGAGTATACAGTATGATTGCTGGTAATTCTACTCCATCATTTTTAAATGGGGGGAATTTAAGCAGTGCTTTTTTAAAAATAAATTGCTCTGTGTAGTCTTGGAAAAAGGTCTGTTATGCTCCCTGCAATTTTGTAATCCCGTGTTTAATCACAGTGTGTAATTATTTCTCATTCATTACCAGAATACAGTCGAGAGTGCCAAGCGCTTCCTAAAGACCTTCAGACCAGGAAAATGGAGCATTCAGTACAACAAGCTGAACTTGCAGAATCCTGTACCAAGGTATAAGAAAATTGTATGTGTACATGTCCGCTTCTCATTGCGTGTTTTGAGTGTGTACCTTGCATTTAATATACAGAGGCTTTTAAAAAGTCTTGGTACACTATTTTCTGCCAAAGTTGTATACCTTACATTTGTTTTATAGCTTTTGTCCTGTTTTTCAGCATTTCACCTTTCATTATTGATGCAAGGATGCAGCAAGCTTCCAGCTCTCTTGTTAAAGCTTAAACAGACTTAAGATAATAACAGCTACTGCCCTGAAAGTCACCAGTGATTTATTTGTTGTTTTACTGGTAGAAACCTTTTCCTTTTAAGAGTGTTTATAACTTACCCAGAATCAAGATTTTAGTTGTAGTGAGCAGGATTGTTCTCTGAGAAAATATCTTTCTTGGAGAGTAGTAATCTTATGTTCCTTCATAAGGGATTGTAGCTAATTGGATTTTCTTGTTGTTCTCAGTGATATTGAAATCTCTCGATCATGCACTCCCAAGCCTATTGATAAATTGGCTAGAGAAATCGGCCTGCTTTCAGACGAAGTGGAGTTGTATGGCACAACCAAAGCTAAAGTCCTGCTGTCGACAATCAAACGACTGGAGGCCCAGCCCGATGGGAAATATGTTGTTGTAACGGGGTAAGACCTGCTTTTTAGCACTTCTGATGTTCAAAAATCATATATGGGCTAATGCAAGATGTTATATTTTGCTTTTTTCAAATAGTTAAAACCTCTGTGATGAACCTCTTGTTAGGGAATTGGAGCTATCTCTTTGAAACTGATTTACTACATGTCTGTGCTGTCTTTAAAGAAACCTGGAATTTTGCTTTTTGTGATGCACTGCAGGATCCCTCACGATTACCATTGTGCTCTTTGAGCTCATGGGATATCATCTTCCTTTCCAGCATTACTCCCACACCCTTGGGCGAAGGGAAAAGCACAACTACCGTTGGTCTGGTTCAAGCCTTGGGAGCCCACCTCAAACTTAATGTCTTCGCCTGCGTACGACAGCCATCCCAGGGTCCCACTTTCGGAATCAAAGGCAAATACCTACTTCAGTGCTTGCCGCTTGTTTACATTTGCTTTTAAAGCTAAAATGGTTCAATTTTAATGAATGATCACGTCAAGGCAATAGTCATTAACAGAGCATTTCTTTTAAAATTGTGTACAAAAATCCAAAAGCTGTTTTTTTTAAATAACAAATTGACAGTAGACATTTGGAAAGTTGTGGAATGGCTTAAATTATCTTATTTCTGATAGAGCTTAGTTGATTATGGTATATATCTTTAGAATTGTAATGTTTCAAATTTAAAAAGCACACAGTTAAAACACAAGGACCTTTATTTACTGTATGTTCCTATCATAAATATTGAATATGATGAACAATGAGTACTGTTTTTGTTGTACATAGGTGGGGCTGCTGGAGGTGGATATTCTCAAGTGATTCCTATGGAAGAGGTATTATATTTCTTATATTCTAATATTTCATTTAGACAGCCAGCAAACTAAAAACCTGTTGCAGTTTGAAAAAGCTTTTTCTTTTCATGTGCAAATCCTTGCAAACAAGGATTACAAACAACAAAGTTCAAATCCATGCAATCAAGGAAGTCCAGGAACCATGTTCTACAATGAACTTTTACAAATGGTTGTTTGTCCATTGTTGCAGTGTTTCTTTTGCCTTTTGCTAATAGATGTCTTGTATTATGTCCCTTTAGTTCAATCTCCATCTCACTGGGGATATCCATGCCATTACTGCAGCTAATAACCTGGTCGCTGCAGCCATTGATGCCCGTATGTTCCATGAAGTCACTCAGTCCGACAAGGTAAAAACAATAAAAAATGCACCCCTTTCAGTCTCAAAATTGTTATATTTAAGAAACACAAGGGAGTTTTAAATATTGTATTAAAATATATTTTCTGCTATCTTGTTTTATCTACAGGGTTAAAGTACACAAATTACATGATGGCAGTACATTTTACAACACTGTACTGTACATTTCTTTAACTAATCAGTCTGTCACAAAATAGGTTGGAGTGGGCATTTTCAGAACCGTTTTGGTGAAATATTGGAGATTTCTAATTCTTAATTAAGATCAAATTTCAGCAAAGTCCTGGTAAAAATGAGAAAAGAATTGGCAGGTTTTTTCACGTGTATGACTTTTTCTGAAAGGCAAGCGGCATATATTTAACAAAGTAATGTTAAAAAGAGGTAACTATCCTGTGCATGAAAGAGAATAAATTATCATTTACATTGATGACCTATGATGTTGATTTTGACCACAGTGCATGTTTCCCGGTGCAATCTGAGAAAAGTGTCTTGCACAAAGATACAACAGTAGAGTTACACCTAAGATTTTGAACTTACAACCTTTCCATTATGAGGCCAAAAATCCGCAACGTGCAGTCGCCTCATTGCTGCATATCCTCATTAGATTTGATTTGATTTTTTTGTTTTCACAAAGAAGTTAAAAAGGATTCAGAGCATTTATTTCTGCTGTGAAGTTTTTCCTTCCACCATCAGGCGCTGTTTAACCGCCTAGTCCCTGTGAGTGGTGGCCAAAGGACGTTTTCTCCGATTCAGCTTAACCGACTTAAGGTATTTGCATTACTAAATGGTTTTACAAAATAAAATGGACACTCATAGAGTACTGTGTAGGTTTATTCCACCCGATTAAACCATAAGCTTGAGACACCAAAATCTGTGTGTAAAATATAGAATGAACAAAGAAGTTTATTTATAAACTCAGCATTCTGAGTAGCTTTTTTCAAATGGTTCTGCGATGGCAAATAATGCATCTCATTATTGCATGTTGATAATATGCCATGAAAATCTCCAGTCATAAATTCCTTTGCCTTTTCAAGTGATCCTAAAATATTTTATGATTGTATTGTACAGAGTATACTTTGAATTAGCTGATAAGCATGATAAGGTTGTGCTCCTCACTTCTTAGATCCTCTTAGATAAATCCTGAAAGGCTAGCAGTTTGCACTGAATTGTGTTTTGATGTGAACAAATCCACATGCAATTTTTCCATATTCAGGAAACATTGCTTCTTTCTTACAGATGAAAGACAACAATGGATTTTATTTATTTTTTTATTTTAATTTTGAATTGTAATATCTTGTTTTTCTCCTACCCATTTAATCTCACTCAAGCTTAATCAGCTCTTTGTCCCCTACAACCATATGGTTTCATAGTGAGAAAGAAGATGCTATGCACACTCTCCCCAGACCTTAGTCACAGCCATCGACACAGTGTTTGATCCATAGTGGCTTAAAGGAAAGTCAGGATCAACTGGAGGAGCAATATGTTATTCAATTATGCAATTACGAGCTGATTAACACCCAGATGGGTCCAGAAGATTACTGGGCTACAAGCTGAGAATGCTTCAGTGAACTGAAACCTACCCATCCAATTTAGAGCCACCATTTGGGAGAAACGTAGTCACATTTGCTTAACGACAAAATTCAGTCAAACCAACTATGTTTGTGTTCATTTAATGGTTCTTGAGTCTTCGACTCTGTTGCTTAAATTTACTTCTCAATAAAGAGTTGTAAAATGCTGGAAAAACATCACAAGAAAAACTTACAAATACATGATTTGTTTTTCTTGGTGTTTTTTGTAGAAACTAGGAATTGAGAAAGAGGACCCTGCCACTTTTACTGATGAGGAGATAAACCGCTTTGTCAGGCTGGATATTGACCCAGACACAATCACTTGGCAGAGAGGTACTTTTTTTTTCCTGGAAGCAATTCTGCTATAGAGCAAACAGGTTCATATAATATTTAAGTGCATGTGTTGGCATATTCATAATTTTGCAAATAAAGAGATTGTTCATCTTTACTAATATAATTGCTGGTATTAAAGCTCTGATAAAGATCTTAATATTGTCTGGATATTATCTTGACAAATATAGTTGTCATACATTTCATCTTGGAGTAACATTTGGCTTGCAATGCCAGACTTCAGAGTACTTCTTTTTTTGCGCACTGGGTTAAAGGGTTTTAATTATCTGATCTGGTTAATTTTAAATCTCTTTATGTGAACATGAAAGCAATAGAAGTTATTAAAAGCTCAAATCGAGTTCACATAGCTGACAAGATATTTACTCTTCCACTGTCTATTGTGAGCCCTTTGCCCTGCAGGGCATCAGTCATCTAATTAAAATGCCAGTAGAAAATGTTAAAATATATTTCAAACAACAAATACAGTTGTCCCAGACTTCCACATTAGTTTAGACAGATATTACCTGGAGGCACAGAAATAAAAGGGTCTGTCATCTGTAAGTTCAGATGGGAGTCTGAAAAATATGAGTCTACCAAATTCAGAAGAAACTGCTTTAATGGTTTTATTTTTTTGTTTTGTTGTTGTACTGTATGTCCACATTGAGATACCAGTCGCCCCCATTTGCAAAAAACAAGATGGCTGCATGCAGTTTTGCCATGCAGTATGTAGACAAATTTGATAACCTAAGCAGATTGTATTCTGTGCAGATGACTAAATTATGTTAGGTCTTTAAATATAAATGTATGCATTTTTTTATTTTGTGGTCTGTAATTGCTTTTCTTTTTAAACTGCTTTAAAAAGAACTCAGCATCATAACATGGGGCTTTGACATTAGTGAACGCGAGTTTTATTTCTGTATACTTCCCTTCAAAATGTCCAGCTATCAGAGACATCCATTTTTCAGCATCCCATAAGTCCCACAAGGCCTACAGGAGAGCTAATGTTTAACAGTGAGGTGTCTTTCACTGTCAACGGTAGAGAATTCAGTGCTGCCCTTCCAAAAGGGTCTCTTGGTATGGGAGTCCAAGATCATGACCCCACTCAGTGGTGCTCAGCCCATTTTTTGGCCATGAATTGGGCCAAAAAATAATAATATTTTAATATTCTAATAACAGAAGCCAGACCTGGACTAGGCTTGGCTCCAGCTGAGATCCTTTACTGCTTGAGCCACTTGAGAGCCCCTACTTGAGAGTTGCTTAACTACAAAAACTAAACCAATATCTACAGTCTGTTGTCACATAGTTATTTTTCTGAGGTCGGTGTTTCCAATGTATTGCAGTGATGGATACCAACGACCGCTACCTCAGAAAGATCACCATTGGCCAGTCTCCTACTGAAAAAGGCTTTACAAGAACAGTAAGTACAGCCTCTGCCAAAAAATAGAACTGGGGAAAAATAAAGTTACAGAGTGCATTAAGGAGCTGAGTTGAAAATGTATACACTACTAAGATTAATCTCCTTACTCTTTGCTAATTGTTACTTATAGATTACATATGTTTTTAATTAGTACGCAATACAGTTAATATAGTTTTGCTGTACTATGCATGTTTTACTTTTGCTCATAAGTAAGAACCATTAACCTACAAAAGCTGAAACTGTGTAGTACAGTCACAATTTAGCATTTGTAAAGTGAGAAATACCTACTAGGCTGAAGGTATCTTGTCTGTCCTTAGACTCAGTTTGATATCACAGTGGCCAGTGAGATCATGGCAGTCCTCGCACTGACCAGCGGCCTGGAGGACATGCGCAGACGTTTGGCCAAGATGGTGGTTGCCTCCAGCAAGAAAGGCGAGCCCATTACTGCAGAGGACCTGGTCAGTACTAGCTCACAAATAATTGGTAGCTTACCATCAGGTTGGCATTAAATGTTGACAAAACTATATTTAAAAACTAACAGTTGAAATTTGCATTAAAATGTCCTTTTGAAAAATATGTATTTCTTATTTACTATATATATATATTAATTAAAAAGACACATGCCCTACCCTGTGATGTTGGGGAAAAGTACAATAACTATAGAAAACTACACATCCACCATTCATTGAGGACAAGAGGAGCCTGCAACCCAACCAGCATTTTTAGGAGATCAGTTGCTATCGTTGGGGTCATAAATGCAGAGGCAAGCCCGTCAAAAAAAGAAAAAAAGATATGATTTTCATCAAGAGGGGGAAAACTGTTTTTTGTTTGAATGTATTGAAGACAAGCGTCTTTCTTATTCGTTGTGCCCAAGATGCAGAAAAAAATATGAGAAAGACTTCCCTGCAGGAAGCAGTCTACGCTCTAAAAAACAAGTTAGTGACCTAGGAGCATACGGAGACAGCAATTTTTTGTTGTTCAGTCAGTGAGGAAAGTCAATGCCCTAAAACTGACATTCATGTTATAACCAATAGAGCAGTTTTTATAGACAACACATGCTTGTGTAGAGTATGGTGACAGTTACGGCTGAATCATTATTTCAAAAATTCCATTACAATGCTGAAATGTCTGTCACATCCATAGTGCAGTTAGGGGTGCATATCATGGCTAGAAGGATATCCACATTATCTGCCAAGGCAATGGAACAGTTAGAGAGGTAGCAGTTTTCCTTTATCATGCCAGTTTCAGTGCATATTACAATGCAGACCATGATTTCCCTTGTTTATTCAACTGCAACTCGATCATTTAGTGGCAGGCAATTTGTAGGGAAGTAATGGGGTTTAATCATGTAATGATGCCTAGTTATTAAAATGATTAATTCAATTTGTTCAAAAGCATTTTGACACAGTCATTTTAAATCAGTTTCTGATGAGTTGTCATGAGTATGGTGATCTTTTACTCAGGCCCGTTTTGCTTGGAAAAGTACTGCATGGATTCCTTTAAATTGCCTAGGAAATCAATTCATTCATGGCATGAAGAAGCAAAAGTATCACGCAAATAATAAACATTGTGTGTATGCTTGACCTGGCATTTCTAACAGATATGACAGAAAATTGATTAGCCTGAGCTTTTATTTTAAGGGAAGCAAAAGACAATTACATAGAGTACATGATTAGTGCACCGAAAATTGAAACTTAACCTCTAGCTACAAGTTGAATTGTTAAATCTCCGATGGACATCATACAGTGTCAGTTATCATATTTAAAATTTAAGCAAGATCACATTTCCTTCATTATATATATATATTTAAATCAAATTAGAATAGTTACTGTACCTTAAGCATATTAATTATTTTTCAATATACATTTTAGTGGCTTGGGATATTTATGGTTAATGAGAAGTAGCTGTCAATAAAGAAGGGTTTGGAGACCAGTACTCTAAACTGTATTTCTCATTTGTTTTGCTTACATTACACTGCCTTAACTCTTAGCTTCCTTTTAGAAACTTGAAATGGGTTCTCTTTCTATGACTTTTAATATTACTGCAAATCGCATTGTATTTTAGTTCATTTTTACTTTGTTGTCATGTGTATTTTATTATTGAAATCTAAAGTCCTAACTTGTTCACTATGAAAAGGAACGAGGTAAAATATAAAGAGATGTATGTATTGTAGGGTTGTCTGAATATAAACTGCAGATACTGAAGATAATTTAAGTAATTTATTACAAATATTTTTGTAAAATCAAACTTTGAAAGACTTTTGATTTATACATAATTCAATTTATCCCTGGTTAGCAGCACTGAAAGAAAATATTAAATTAAGCTTCTGATTTTGTACATTAATGAAAATATTAAGAAATAACTGACATGTCAACATTGTGGCCTGAATAGACCATAAAAATCAGAAATGTACACCCAAAGTAAACCCTCCTTCAATAGAAAAACAAACACAAAACATGTTTCTGATTTGTTTGTGTGTTTTTTTTATCACATACATTTGGCATTTATCATTACACTTGGTTTGTCACCAGAACAATTTGTTTCTCTTTATGAGATAAATGGTTATGAAAGATTTATTCAGAAAAATGTCACTCCTAATATTGCTTTAGGAAATACTGGCTGTATTGTTAAATTTGTGAAGGCACTGTATGATTAGTAGGGATGATGCAGTTGAATTAGCTCTTGTGTCTAAGAGTGCTTTCTCTCTCCACAGGGTGTGAGTGGGGCTTTGACAGTTCTAATGAGGGACGCAATCAAGCCCAACTTAATGCAGACCCTAGAGGTGGGTGGATGCAGTTCTCTGATTTTGTTTAGAAGAACAATATTGACCCTATGTTCTGATTCAAAGAGCATTGTCTGTACCTGAAGTGTTTGAACATTTTAGCCAGAGTTTTATTCACTGCGGAAAAAGAGGTTTTAGCATAAGATTCCAGCGATTCTGTGGAGATCATGGATACTAATTAGTCTTAATTCCATGTAGATGTGTGGGCAGCTCTGCAAAATCTCCAGTAATTGGAAATGAAGAATAGTCTAAAAAATTGGACTTAACCATTTAAAGACATTGGGCAAAATAAATCTAAAAATGCATCTCTTCCTACTAAGTTTACATATATTCTTTCTAAATAAGCTTTAGAGGTGTTTTTAGTATTTGTATGAAGTGCCTAAGGTCAGAGTTGAGGGAGAAGAGATCTTGTTTCCCTATCTAGCAGTTCTATAGATAGACATTAAATCATCAGTCCCTAAAAACCTCAGACAATTTGTTAAATTAAGTAATTTAGAGATTTTTGGGGGACAGAATTCCATATAATCCTCAGGCATATCACAGTACTTTATGAGATGTACACTATTCCTTCCCAAAAAAACAGGTGTTTTAGGACGACCAGTAAGTCTAACTGGGGTGGGGTTTTCCAGAAGCAGAGTTGGATCATTGGATAATTTTTCCTTGTATCCTATCCAGATTGTACCATTGAGATGGTTATCAGTTTGCCTTGTCACATATATATATGCCTTAATATTATCACACTTAAAATATTATTAATATTGTGTAGTTATCAGTAGTAACCATATCAGGTAATTGTTATATTTTGAAACCAACCTGCAAGAATAAATTATTCAGTATAACTTAAATTTTAAAAATCTGCAAAAATGTTAAACTTGAGTTAAGAAATTAATAAATGATATTTACCAGCATTGTTTCTTGTAAAACATGCTGTATTTATAAGATTTTACACTGAAGTACAGTAGACTGTTGTGGTGTGGTTGTTGATTTACTGAGCTCTCCTTCCCTTTAGGGAACACCAGTGTTTGTCCATGCTGGTCCTTTTGCCAATATTGCCCATGGCAACTCTTCCATCCTAGCTGATAAAATTGCCCTGAAGCTGGTAGGTCCAGAAGGATTTGTAGGTGAGTTCTTTTGAAGTCTGAACTGAGTAGATGTAAACAGCTCTTCTAGCTTATTTCAGCTTATTTCAGAAATGTCAAACAGCAGCGAATGGTTATGTTGTAAATGACATAAACTGATTAAAGTTTTTTATTAATGTCTGCAGTACACCTGTGTATATTTTATGAATGTATTTTATAGTTTAGTAGTTCAACATGGAATGAATGGCCTTGTTGTGGAAGTCCATAGTGAGCATCTTGTTCCTTGAGAAACCCTCTGTAGCGGTATGGCCTAAAAGCATTTCCTTTTTATTTTACAGTTAGTGAGTTGATGTCTGCTTTCTTAGAATCCTACCCTTTCGGTGTATCTGACATCTGTTATTGCTTTCTCTCTTAGTTACTGAGGCAGGATTCGGAGCTGACATTGGGATGGAGAAGTTTTTCAACATCAAGTGTCGTTATTCGGGTCTGCGGCCACATGTTGTGGTCCTGGTGGCCACAGTTCGAGCTCTTAAGATGCATGGAGGAGGACCCACTGTAAGTCTTATATCCCATGTATGCTGCCACCTCTTGAGAATTAATGACATTCTTAAACAGGATATAATGTCTGTTTTCTTAATGTTATCTTACCTCTTTAAATGCCATTGAGCAGTAATTAAAGTATATGCTTTAGAGTGCATTTAGTTTCCTATGAGTCCCTCTGTTAAGTATGTGCTTAATTGCAAAGTCACAGATTGCCAGGAAGACAAGTAGCTCCACATTAAAGTTTTGTCAGATAAATTTGTTTCCACATATGTTACTGTACTTCATTTTCTTCATATCTTTAAAACAATCACAAAAGGACATTTGAGAGTAATAAGGATATGAAAATAGATTTAATCTTTCACTAGAAATTGTAGGCTGAGTACGCATCTTTCATCTGCTGTTTCAGGTCACAGCTGGCCTACCATTGCCAAAGGAGTATACGGAGGAGGTAATTTTGCAGAGCTGTGAAGTGATATTTATTGTTATGTACTAGGCTTGGATCTGGCACTAGGATTTTTATTGCAAGCCCTGAGAAACAATGCCTGTCAGTTCTTTTTTAGGACATTAATGCATTGACAGAGGTATTTTATGTTACTTTTATACAAGCTAATACACTGGCTGCTTTATTTTTAAAATTTAATTCAAGCTGTATTGTAACTTTTGGAACACTCTATATTTAGGAATATTTATGTACATATTCTTAGACTCAAGACCATTTTTAAAATTGATAAAATAGTTTCATCTGTATTGATGGCCTCACTGACTCAAAGGTATCTTAGATAAATAGATACATTCTATTCCTTTCTCTTTAAAAGCAAGGAGTCCAGATTAGGGCTGTCAATTTGAGTTCCCAGAGGCCTTCATGGTCTTCAGTTTTCCTTTCCAGCTTCATTTATCAGTTTGCTTAATTGAATAAATTTCTGGCATACAATAGCTGCACATAATCAGATATAATACTGGCATAATCGAGATCTTTTAAAGTCAATGATTTAAAAGATGTAATTGATTCAGGGTACTGTAGCTATAAAACATTTACAGCCCAGGTTAGATGGGGGAGATAAATTATTTTATTGTAATTAGACCAGTTAAGCAATCAAAGTTTGAGGGGGGGAAAAAAATCTGAAACTCTTATATGTGTGTTATACAAGTGTGCCTTGTATAACAAAAGTACTTTTCAGACCTATATTTGTAAAACCATATCCACAAGTGATATCCTATTCAAGTTCTGTTTACTAAAAAAATCTTAAAAGTATAGCTATTGTTAAAACATGCTTATTTATAACATTTATTGAGCTACATTTGTTTGCCAGTGATATCTGCTTCAAATTTTATTGAACTTCTGCATTGTTTGGCCAAAAGACACTCATGATACCTGATGCAGAATTCCATCATTTTTTCTGGGCAGAGCAATATCCAAGCCTCATCCCTGCTGTACTGTATATTGTGTGGAATGTGTTAGAGGTGCTGAACAATCCCACATAACTGACATTATTAATGGAGCTGGGCTTCAAATCTGTCCAAACCTCATGAAATACCTGCTAGTCCTTCTGAAACAGTAACTGCTACACAGCAGCCCAAGATGTTATTGGGTACAGTGTTCAGAATGTATTGGCCTTTGAATATAGTAAACATTTAATGTAAATGAACTACATAATTCTGGAAATTAACAGGTGTAAATTAATGCAGGAGGTTAAAATGAATTAATGAATAACCCTGTTTCAAAGAAAGGTGCTAATATTTTCGGTTGTTATTAATTTGTGTTTGGAGTTATGGACAGATATATTTTTAAAAAGCTAGGTAATAATAATAATGTGCATTAAAATAACATTAATCCAAATATTAATAATAAAATACACGGGAAAGGAATTTGACTAAATTGTTATTGATGTAGGAGTAATTAACCACACGTTTTTCCCATCTCCAGAACCTGGAGCTCTTGGAGAAGGGGTGCAGTAACCTGCGGAAACAGATTGAGAATGCACAGGCCTTTGGGGTTCCTGTGGTAGTGGGTGTCAATGCTTTCAAGTGAGTAGTGTGTCCTTATGATCAGTAGACAGTTAATATATACCTTATTCACAGATGGTCATTTTATATAGTGTGTATTTTCTTTCAAAGGCGAAAAGTCTCTTGACACAGGTTCAGTATATTCTGACTAAAATGTCAAGAAAACTAGAACTGTTTCTGCTCTCTCTTATTTTTAAGATTGCATTGAGTGCTAAGGTTTCTAATGTTTACCTCTGATATCGGGACCATAACCTTTATCGATTATAACAACACTTGGCTTTTGAGTATAACCATAAGTTGTACTGATATCAAGTATACTGTCTTATCAGTAGAAAGGTCTAACCGTAAGGTGTTATTATGGTTATTGTTAATTCTGAATTGTTAAGTGTGGCATTCCAGGGAACAGGATTCTTATAATGTTTCGATGTTGAAGCTACAGTACTTATAGACCATCTTGCTACAAAGTCCATGCTGTCATTCCTGCAACTTTCAGAATGCATTTAAGCTTTTCTGTTCCATCAGAAACTCTATTGCTTCAGAGTACATACAAGATGGCAACAGAGAGAGAAGGAAAAACACTACCCACTGATAGCCAAGGTTCCAGTCCAGAGCATTGAAAATATTTTGGCTTGTGCTCTTTAGCTCGTGGGAATTTGGAAGCGCAGGTTTGTAGTGGGCAGTAACAGAGCACTGTGTTGCTTCTTTCTGTTTCTTGAGCTCTGCTTTTGAAACCATCCTCCCTCTCTCTTGAGCCGTACCAAAGGGTTTGTAATCTTTTCCTTTTGATTTCAGAAGTCGGTAAATGAGGTAGACTAGGGGACAAGCCCTTTGTTACTCCCTATGCAGGACTAAAGCAGAGTGTCTTGTGTGAATGCAGGACAGACACAGGTGCTGAGCTGGACCTGGTATGCCGTTTGGCTAAAGAAGCAGGGGCCTTTGATGCTGTAAGGTGCTGTCACTGGGCCGAGGGAGGCAGTGGGGCTGTGGCTCTTGGTGAGGCAGTGCGGAGAGCAGCAGAGGCACCCAGCCAATTCAAATTCCTCTATGATGTTGAGGTAAAGACGGTAGTATATGAGAAACATACCTTTAACATGTTGCTAGACTGGTTATATTCGATTTATATTGTTTGTATTCCTTCAGTAATGTATAAGTTCTTTTCTTGCATTTGAATTATAATCTTAGCTTGAATTTTCCAAATATAAACAACTATGGATTACATGTTAATTGCTTCCTAGTTTGAATTATGCATTTGCATTACAGTAACTACCGAGAAACAACCTTTTTACTGTATGACTGTGAAGGTTGACAAATTGAAGCTAACCCTTTACTTTTGGTGAAGTTCTAAATGAAGCAGAAATATGTAATTGTTAAATGTTTCTAGTAATATAAAATATAATTTTTTAACTGAAGATAAAAAAAAATGCCCGTAAGCCTGTAATTCTTACACTATAGTGAAGAGTACCATGGAAATTTGATGATTTAATTTATTATTCATAAGTAGAATAAGTAGAAATACAAATTTTGCCATCTCTTCTGCCTATTCAGTGTAAAACATGAATCAGTTTTGTATATATTGTGACATTAGTGGGTGTTAAATTGTGTAGCTCACACATTTACAAACCTGTTGTAAACCCTTCAACAGGATGATGTTCTTGCATTAATACTGCCTAGAATTTTGGAGTGGAAAAGTGTAATTTATTATATAGTTTTCACGGTAATTGTAGCAGTAGTATGCATCAAACACCAGTTGCTAATAGAAACATGAAGGGTTTTTGTGTATTATTTCATATTTGTGGAGGAATGTAATGGATTATGAACTTTAAACCCACAGCTGCCAATTGTTGACAAAATCCGAATTATTGCACAAAAGATCTATGGTGCTGATGACATTGAACTTCTCCCAGAGGCTCAACATAAAGTTGAGGTTTACACCAAACAGGTGAGGATGCTCTGGCTTTTGACGGAACCCAAGTTCTGTATAGAACAGAGGCACACAAATTCATTCACGGGCAAGAGCTGAATTCTAATTCAGAAAGCTAAAATGCTGAAGTCTGTTTGTGAAAGGTAATAAAGTTGATGGTCTCAGGTTAATTTTTAGCTGCATAGAATGAAGTGCAGATATATGTATATTGAATTTGAAAATGAAACGTGGGTGAGTAAAGGGCCTGTTTATTTATCCAATATAAGGATCACAGCATGAAAACAGCCTTGTCATGACAACCACTGGTGCAAAACTCTTAAGTAAAATCAATTTTAATTTTAGCTGTACTCGGGTATTGGTATTGATTAAGTGTTTAATACAGATTTTTTTTTTCTGGGAAGATTTTAAACCTAAAAAGGAATCTCCTGTCACACTAATTCCTGTTTTGATATTTTTCTGAAGGGATTTGGGAATCTGCCTATCTGTATGGCAAAGACTCACTTGTCTCTCTCCCATGACCCAGAGAAGAAAGGAGTGCCCACTGGGTTTATTCTGCCCATCCGAGACATCAGGGCTAGTGTGGGCGCAGGGTTCCTCTATCCATTAGTTGGCACGGTAAGGACTCTGAAGAGAAATGAGTGGTACCAGTTTTACCTGTTAGTTGATTTCTTGTACGTCCTGTGCATCTTTCCAGTTTTGTCCGTTTTATTAATGCAAAATTAAATTGTATTAATCCAAACTGTACATTTTGGTTAGGTCTGTACAGTGCTCTGCCTTCACATGAAAAAGTGTGTTGTAACATGGACAGGTAACATCTCTTTTCGCCTACATTCATCCTTGATATCTTTTTGCACAACATTTTTTTTGCTGGAGATGTCAGTCAGATTGTAACATAACCTTTTGCAGGAACAGCCATTGATTTCATGCACTCAGCACACGAAAATCATGCACAGAATTGTGCAACAGGAGCAAGCAGATGTAGTTCTGGTTTACTTGAGAAGTCTAGTCCAGCAAATACTGTATTTAGGTCTCTATATTTGCATCTCATAAATAACTAAGGAAAGATGTTAAATGGGTCCAGTCAAACCAATAATTAGATCAGTTATGTAAGACAGTGTCACCTGGGAAACATGCAGTGACAGCTGTCACTGGGACCGGAGTTGTGCACAACTGCAGTATAACTTTGTAGGAAGTGTATTCATCATTAGACAGTTTTTCACTTTTTATTGAATAGTCTAAATTTGAGAGTTTTTACAAAGTTATTGGTTCTTTATCACCTTAGGCATTAGGGGAAGAAATGCTTATGCGTCACACTGCAGTTATCAAATCACCTCTCCTTGATTCAGTCATAGCCCATCAGTTGTCCAGCTGTATTTTTAACTCTTTTTAAAAAAACAAAAACGATTCTTAAAATTAAGTTCTTCACCACTACCCAGTCAGAGACAATGGAACCCAGTTAACATACAGAAAACGATGAGAAAAGTAGAATTGAAATTAGGTGTTAATTTTATTGGCTTATAAAGGCACCTTTGTCTTAGTTATGCTACTGTAGTTTGGTGTAGAGTTCTGATGTTTTCACACTGTTTGAGACTGTTAAGTCAATTCAAACCCCTCTGTGAGCTGCCTCACAGCTGTAAGATTTATTTGAAATTGTTATTGCTTTTGGACTCTTTAGCCCTGGTTGTCAAAAGATGGTGTTAAAGGATAAAAAAAAATCTTGTTCAAAGCATTCCTATATCTGGGTGAATAATATTTTTAGAAGTTCATTGCAGTTGGTACTGATGAAGCAGTTGATTCAGATTCATTGTTATAAATGTCAGGAAAGTGCTGAAATGTGTTAATTAAGAGAGAAGTTAAAATGGCATTGCGAAATTAACAGCAGGAAGATCTTATAAAGAGAGCAAAAGTAGGTTATGAGATGGCACTGCATGGGAATGTGCTTGAGAAGTTTTGGCCTTTATTAAAACTTATTTTAGCATTTTTCCCATCTGCTTTCATATCAACCCTCCACATTTTCACTTCTCACCCACAGGGAGCCAAAGGCAGCACTTTTTGCTCTTCCCAGAGCTTAAAAATAATACAAATGAAAATGTTTGGAACATCTGTGTTGTTACAATGTTACATTTTTTTCAGTACTCAGTGAAAAAAGTATGTCATTTTCATGTCCAGACAACTGTTGCATTTGTAAAAACTGAAGTTAATGATTGTTTGCTTTCTTTGGTCAAATTGTCATTTAATCTCTTCTGTCCGCTCACCAAAAGAACAACAATTGAATGAAAATTGTCTTTGATGGTGAGATCAAAAGGATTAAAGGAATAGGAAAAATTAAAATCTGGGTCCTGTCTAAAATGATTTTTGACCTCCTTTGGCTAAAATAACGTCATTTAAGAAAGACGTTTCAGAGTGGCACACAACATCTTGCCTTAAAGACGTTGCAGTGACAGAGGAATAAAAGTAGCGTCGATGAGTTATTTCTAAGACTAAACTATTACACTGGACAGTAATTTAAGGAAAATATGAATACTTCTGCAGAGCATTCTTATTAAAACACAGAAGATATTGCCTCTGCTTTGCTTCTGTGGAAGCTGCTGATTGTCAATATTTTTTCTTTTGCTTCACACAAGATGAGTACTATGCCAGGGTTACCTACTCGACCATGTTTCTACGATATTGATCTGGATCCTGAAACGGAGCAGGTGAATGGCCTGTTCTAAAATTACAGTATGCCATGGCAGGTAAGTAAGGTTTTAAAAAATGCTCTTTTATTGCTGATTGTTTTCTTGGGATTATTATATGTCAAGATGTAATAATGATTTACACCACCTACTTCCAGAATAACAGTAAATGTATGTTTATGTAAGTGTATAACACACCCTACTGTCTTTCACCATTTGATCATTATTGTGAAAAGCTAATTTTATGCTGATGATAAACTATTTGCTTTGCATTTTTGCTAGTCTGCCTCAGACTCAGACCTCAGTCTGCCTTCCTTATTTTGTTTTCTTTTCCTTTGTAGAGCAGAGGTCTTCTTGAGTCGACAGATTTCTAATGAACCACAAAAGAGTAATTCCCGAGTCATGATTATGGAGCCAAAGCTTGATGTCAACACTGTTTAAGGTTTTGTTGTTTTTTTTTCACCTGCTGAACGTTACTTCTGAACTTCACTGAGGGACGGTGGGGGAAATCAATGATTTAAGTGTTTAAGTGTTCAAAATTATTTTCCTTTTTACATTATTAAACCATTACATCCAAAACTGTGACACCCAAAATCAGAGACGGTGGATGGAATAAAATACGTAAGCACCTTTATAAGAGAATTTGCTCTTAATTATAATTTTGTGGTTTGTCTTCCAAAGCATTTTTTCCCCGTTTTATCTGCTTTTTTTAACATCTTCAGTGAGATCAATTAATGTCATTGGATAAAAATTAAAAACAAGGTGATAGTAGAATGGCATTTAGGCATGAGACATGCAAAAGTTCATTTACTTGAAATTGTTGTCCCTACCAACTAGCAAGATAAACGTATCTTTGGGTGTGTAGTTTTTTTTTTTATTAAGGTTAACATACTGTAAGATCATTTTTACTGCTGCCTACATCTGGTATGGGAATCAAATTAGAAAATATAACTGTGGATTTGTTTCATTTCACATTTGTCTGTCATGTCTGTTATTAATTAAAAAAAACTCAAATGTTTATCACATACATGATCAGGTCGGCAGTAGTATTTTGTACTGTACAATTTTTGATAACTGAGTTTAAGTTTTGGAATGTATTTTACACAGATATGAAATCTGATCTTCTGTCTCTCATGCTACTGTATTTATAATTCTTAAACTGGAATTTCTAAAGTGCAATTCTTGCCATGTAGTAAGAAGTGTTTACGCAGTAGATATCTGAGCTTACTCCAGGCTGGCCTAAAATTTCTGCCCACCGGCACAGAGAAGGTTCCTTCATTGCCATTTCTTCTTGCAATGAAATCAGCTTAATTTTTAACAGTGTTAAGATCTTAATTAAAATGATGCCTTATTGTTCTGTTTTGGAGGATTGCATATCTGTTGTTTTGCCTTTTAACGTACCTTTCAAGATTAATTGGCTACACTTTTAACTGGACAGTTTGTCTGCTAGGGCACTCTAAAAGTCATTTTTGAAAACTATGATAAAAACAATTGTAACTTTTTGATCTGTGTTGAAATATCTATTGGGTTCTGTTTTTTGATTTTGGAATGTGATAAACTGATTAAAGTCTGTTTGAAGTTGTTACAAAATAAAATGCTTCAGAGTTTTGATTTAAGCGTAACACTGGGAGAACAAAGTGGGCCATGTAAAGGCTTTTTTTGCTTATATGTTGAGTGGGCTACATGGCATTTCAAATTAACTGACCTCTGTGTGACATCCCTAAATTGTGTGAAACAACCTGAAGTTCTCCTTGGACCAAAATATTCCCTTTGATACAGTTAAGTGTGTTTCACAATTTGCAGTGAATTATGCAAGGCTTGTTCAAAAAGCAAAGGCAATGAATAAACCAACTGACCTGGTATCATATCTTGATTCTACCCGTTCACTATTCAGTTCCAGTGTTCAGCAACATGTGCTGTTCTGCTATTGCCATTTTAATACTGTACCATCCAGATATTTTGAGTCATTATTGCAAATAGACTTTCACCAACCTGAAAACTTTGACTTTGGAGACCATCTTTCAAGGATACAAAGAGATGTAAAATACAATGAGCAAGACTGGATTAAAAAATTGATATTTAATTTCACAAGGTCCAGTCTAAAATGGTGAAGTTAATGAAAGATGCAGCATGCTGTAAAAATGTTTTTAGGACCTCCATCTCATTTTAATCATATTACTGCAGTCTGACAGTTTTTGTTTCTTTACTGGTGGACAGTCAAATGTGGTTTTGTTCCATAACAGATGGCTGAGGTGCTAGGTTGCATTTTTATTTAAATACATCTTTTCTTATCTTAACAGACCATTTTAGTTGCTATGGCACCAAGCTTAGGTAGTTTTTTTTTTTCAGTCTTAATCCTGGATACTCACTGTGTCTAGTAGTTTTTATTCCAAATGAGAAAATGTTTATTTCATTTAACTCTCTGTGGCTCTTACTGGGAATTTGGTAACAACATTTGTATTTCACATTACTAGGTTTTAATAATGTATTGTGCACTTTTATCATTTTGCCTTTTTTATTTTGATCAATATTGTCTTTTAACAACAGATGTGCAGGAACAGATGTGAATCCAGGTCCAATTAATTGTAACTTCTTGTAATTGTGATTTGGGTGCTTTAGATGCAATGTTGTTCAAATAATAAACCATCCCAAAGTGGTGGGTGTAAAAAAGTGAGTAGTAAGTGTCAAGACATGCTGAATATAAATGTGTATATGATTGCCAAATAAAGTATACACAGTGGAAGCTCTCAGAAACTGTTTTCTATTTTTTGTTGGAATAAACATCTAAAAAACCCACATACACTTAAAAACCCTGACATGTTCTAAAGCCTCACATGAAAACGCCAACATATACTTGAAAAATCCACAGCTTACCACCTCCACCTCTGATGCACACAGGCCTCTGCTTCATTTTAATTTGCTTTTATTAAGTCTTTCATAAGACTAAAACCAAAGATGAAAGAAAATCACATCTATCTAAAAACAGAGAAACTTATCTTTAGACCAGAGATATGTTCACATTCTCCCTCCTCACAAACTAACAAAGGTTTGTTTTTGTGATTCAGCAATTTGGAAATTATTAGGCCTGACTCTTATGTCATTAGTTTTTTAATTAAGAAATTGTTACTTTCTTAATGGAATTTAATTAAATACATTTACTCTGTAAAGAAGTTGTAGACCAGTAGTTTCTTTAGATGTTGTCCTTGTCATTAAAGAGGAACTACAGTCCCAATTTCTCAGATCGGTTATTAAATCTCAGTAACAAAATACATTAATTGATGAAATAGAAACATTTTACAAATTTCAAATTAAGAACAAAATCAGGAACTCTGTGAAAGTACTGTAAGTTGCCATGTTGGCGCAAAGACCTGGTCTTGGGTGAGAGCGAGAGTTTCCACAAATTGTGACATGATATAGCCCTTCCTGCTCGCTAGTCACTGTAATGACTAATGTAATGGGAAGTAGGAATGAAGCTGAAGTTGAGAGTAATATTTCTATTCGATTAAAAGAGAAATTCACAAGCCTACTTGTTTACAATGTAATAAGGCCTCTACTAGACATTTTGTTGCCTCGTTCTGAACCACAGAATACGGTGCTGCACAAACCTGGAAATGTTGTCTATATTGTGATGTTAAGTGGAGGCTATACAAGTTACTGTGTACATTTTACTTTAATTGTGGTTTGCACTCAATGCACTCAATCAATGCTGATTTTTTCTAACCCAAAACAAAAATAGCAACGCAGTTCCCTTTTATGACAGTATTACAAATGCAGCGAGGAAACTTAGTAAGTAAACAAAAATTGTTCTTAAAAAGAATGCCTTAAATGATTTAGTTATCTAAATTAAACTGTATTGAATTCCTTCATAAGGGAAGTTAATTGGATTTACAGAATTAAAAATGTCAACTGCAATTGCAACTGCATCCCAACTTCCAGTCCGTAACGAATGTTGTAGTTTGGATTCAGGAATAAGCTGTCAATACTGGCAGAAATCCAGAACATATGTCCCTGTAACCAAATCAATATTAGAGTAATTATTGTAACAAGAAAAAAAATAAGAATGTTTTTTTAATCATTTTAAGGAATCACAAATGTATCCAGTAATTCAGTAAAGCTGAATGGTGGGCCAAAGTTCTGGAGTACTCTATAAGTAGCTAAGATGCATTCCTCTTACGTGGTTCCATGTCAGAAAGCCCTTAAGATATCCTCAGATACCTACACCACATTGCAGAACTATGATCTGCAGACTTTCTAAAGATTCTAAAGAACAAACTATACGTGTGGCATGTCTGCCCTGCAATATATTGACGTCCTCTCTGGGGAGTGCCCTGCCTTGCACATGTTATTTGCCATCATGGGCTCTGGCTCCCCCATGAATGGATGGATAAGAGTGGCAGGCCAGCTTAAGGGCTGCAGTTACAGTACATCTCTACTGCCACTAGAGATTGCTCTGCAGCCTCTAACCTTTGTAAATAGACATAATGAGTGTTACTTATAAAATTATTTTATAATCGGTGAAGGGGCTGAGAAATTTATTCTCACATGGATGTAATTAATTTGTGTTTGGTACAGTATATAAAGGGTGTGAATGATGCTTGTGGCAGTTGTTTCTTTTATTTTTGGGTTGGTTTTTCACTTGTTGTGATCTGAAATAGAAAACATAGCCTCCTGGATTTTACTTCTTGTGGTCATTGTGACTTCCCCAGTTGTGAAGAATACCTAAGGGGAATGAATGACAAATCAATGGCATTATTTCCTGACCTACAGAACTGGTCATTCATTTGCAAGAATAATTCATCTTACGAAAGCCACTTTTCTATAGCAGCTTTCATTTCTCTTCATCTTTGATACTTTGAGTCTGGTGAAGACCAGACTGTGTTCAAGCTTGTAGATCTAATCGCTTGCTGCACTTGATGAGCAGGACATAACACTTAGAAAATTAAAACATACTCATTCAATTTAAAATGAAATGCTGACCACATAAACCTTGTTCTATGTGTGGGGAAA